ATGGGTCTGCGAAGGCTCGACTGAATTCTATCGGACTGGTGATGTACCCAGCCGAGTAGTAGCGCTTGCACAAAAAACAACTACGAGGCCCAACATGTTCGTACCCAGATATACGTGCTCTGGAGAAATCTCATTAGTCGGAGTGGCCATCCTGCATGGCATTGTACAACGCACGGTCATGTGTTTCGTCGGGCGGGGATCAATCTGGCATCAAGCTGCGTGGATACAGGGCAAAGCACACAGTTCAGCTGGGCTGCTACTGACAATGCTCAGGTCGTAGTCCTTATCATGCTGACAGTGTATGCCGTGATTTCTCACATCGGGTTGGCGGTGTCGGGGATTCTTTTCCAGGTGACCAGGTGTTGATCCCCGATGCGTGCTTTCCACCCGAAAGGCTGCACATTCAAGCTACGGTTTGTGAAACGGTCGCATCATTCACAGAGTCTCAGAGCCAGGTCTTCATTTATCCAAGATGTTCATGTGCAGCCCTTCTCTCGGGAAGCCACCGCTTTCGACGGGACTGAACGGGCAACGCTGCCGCACCAAGCCAGGCTTGTATCCGCCCGGAGATCACTTCGCCAACGCGGCAACCTGTAACTAGAAGCTCAAACTCAGGGTATGGCGGCCTCACATGCGTAAGTGCACGCTTAGTAAGACAACTGGCAACAGCAGTGAAGGAGAGTCGCCGCAGGCAACATGGTCTCGCAGGCGTTAGTGTAAGTGCCGGCCGGACGCGGCAAGCAATGCTTCGTCGCTATTGCGCACATCTTTGAACATCGAAAAAGTCAGAGACACGCAACATGCGCAAAGGCATGTCGCGGCTGCGCCACGAAGCGCACACAGCAGCCACCCTTCACAAATGGCTCGCCCGTTGCAGTTAATTCTGGCTGGATGCACGCATGTAAAGCGCTCAGCAAGCTGCAACAAGCCACGAACGTAGATTCGTGTCGAGCTTCGCTCTGACAAAGACAACTTTTAATGCGAATCGATGTTCATTACGAGCACCGGAGCCCCTTACCGTTTCCCTCGGCATGCAGTCTGCTGATCGCATTCTTCTCCCAGTCCACCCGAATGAAAAGCCCATTGAGGAGCAGCGAAAACACATGCTCTCCTGGCGAAGATCTCAAATACTGAACCTAAGACTCAAGACTACTTAAGATGTTCTTTTCTGGACAAAGATACACTTTAGAACACCTCAAACCTCTAAGGTTCATGTTGCAAGACGGACAGACTGCTGCAAGGTGACTGCTGTAAATAGATGCCGTGAGCTTGACTTCACTTCCACGTGCATCCGCAACAATACAGAGCCTCTTGGCCCATCATCCTGTCAGCATCTTCGCAGATCGCGAATCGCCTCGGCCAGGCACAGCGCGAAACAGTTGTCCGCTGCTCTTTCGGCAAAGACCCCGACCTGGATAGCGATGGAACTGCGGCTTCGCATTCACAGCAGGCATCATAGCCTGGCACGAGAAGACTTGCAACATGTTTCGTCCGTCGTCATCCGCTCGCACACGCATTCATAGTCCCACTGAACCTACAAGTTCAAATCACTGCCAGGACACACGAGCTTTCTGAAGAGCTGCATTCCCAGCCTTTACGGCCTGCACGGCGCTAGGGCTTGCACTTGTGGTGGGTTGCAGCTTCTCGCTGTGCAACAGACAGCATCACTCCGACCTGGAGCACCTGCCGATTCCCAGCACCGTCTTCAGTCCCTTCACCACCTTCGACACACGGAATCTGGAGGGGACAAGGGTATCTGGGTTTCGCTTCAGAACTCAGCGCAAGGGACACACGGACGGAATTACTCATGCATTTTGGTCCAGCAGGCAATCCAAGTGAATGGCCGGGAGAACGCGGCATATACAACTCTTGCGTCATCCCAGCAACGCCATGAAATCAGACCAGTGCCGCCCAGATGCCACGGAAAGACTCCATCAGGGTAGGTCCACCACACCTGAAAGAAAATGACCCCAGTCTCCGTACTCCCAGATTTACATCTCTGCAGCTGTGAGGCTTGCCCGGCACCTTTGGGCGCGCTGCACGCGCTGGCCCCTGAACCAACAAGTGAGAAAGTGAATTCGGTTGGAATGCTGGCATGACCGCCACTTGTAGGAGACTCGAAGCTTCCCTGCATGCGACAAACTGACAGGGCAGCAAATGGTACGACTGGTACGAGTAAGACGAACAGCAACACCAGGAATAAAGCAATGGAATTCCTGCTCCGTCTACAACATCTTGAAGAGTCTGCTCATTCATCCGCCTCAACCTACACACCCCTATCGGGCAAAACCAAACCACTGTCCTCCATGCAAGCCTTGCATTTTCTTGCATTGACATTCTACGGAGAAACAAAAAAGCCCGCGCGCGCGCCTTCCCTGCCACCACGTTGACGGGCTTTTGCACTTGCTTGCACCTCATCCGCAGTTGCTCACACTTCCAAACACCGTTACGATGGAATCTCACAGCATAAGGCCACTTCGAGGCCAAAACAAAGCCCTCAAAAATGCAAGGATTTTGTAGCAGCAATGTTGCTCCTCTTTCCAAAGGACTTCGGCTCACCAAAATACAGCCTAGCCGGAGATCCGAAAGGAATCCCGATTCGGTATGGCTGCGGCTACTGCATGCATGAAAACATGCCTGTAGAAGCGCCACCTCTTGCCATCTCTTGCCCATGGACACAGCACATTTTCTGCAACAACCGGCATATCGCCAGATCTTGATCAGCCCCACACATCGCATCGATGCCAAGCGTCGGATTGGCGTCAGCACAGGAGGGGCTGAGAGACAATTCAGTCTCGAGGTTGACCTGACACAATCAAAGGCCTTCAGGCGGCCTTCAGGCAATCAGAGACCCAACCAGGCCTGGACTCGTGCAGGTCGTTCAGAGGTGAAGGACTTGGTGTACAACTGTGTACAACCATGTCTGAGTGTAGTTCATCTGCAAAGGTACCGAGCTCGCGACACCGTGGCTCAAGGAAGCTCGCACAGGGCCACGAGGTGCAGCCTTGGCTCGTCACGCTGCCAGGGCGCAGGATCTACCTCATCCCCGTAGCTCTATCACTCCCTCGCACCCCTATTTGGTCCGGGCACTTCGACATTCTTGCTCGCGTTGGCCTGCTACGAGCTTGGAGTTGGGGGAAGTTCAAGACCACAGCAGCAAAAAAGAGACTGAGCAGCCAATACTTCCCGATATGAGGCTCGGCTTTCGGCTTTCAGCTGCGAGCACGTCTGATTCTCATACATGTCAGCGCCAGCATACAAACTGTCATGCATCAAGACCAGTCCTTGCACCACACTGGGTCGCTCCATCCGGTAAAGACTGTCAGGGATGCCTGGCAAAGCCCCAACATGTGGCACCCGGAGAGCACAGGTGTCAGCAGTGCAGCGAATCCAAATCAAAGATGCTCAAAATTGTCCCCGCTCACCGGTTGCCCGGCCTGCAAAGAACCCGGATTGCCTTTGTCTGTCCATCCATGCACTGGCTGTGCAGAATCCTCTCAACAATGCTCTGTTGTCACTGTTGTCAGCAAAAGTCGAGAAGCTGCAATGCGTGCCAGAAACTTGTCGCAGCTTTAAGCGTCTTATCTGCAAACTCGCCTTCGCCTCTGAAAGCGGTGCTTGCAGATTTCGTCGTTCTTCGAAATCATCCTCCGTATCCGTGTCAGGCCACACGTTCACATCCTGCACGGTGCGAAGGAGTTCCCGAGATTTACTGGTTTCGGCAGGTCTGGCACAAGCCATCACAAGTCTCACACAAGTCATGCTCAAGGGCTTGTTGCGCCTCCGAGTCCTCCGACGCATCCTTGGTGAGTACGAAGGGTCGCAAAGCGGGATGTTGGGGGGGGTGGCATTGCGAACTGGAAAAACGGAAGACCATGAGCAGCGTGAGCATGCCGACGGTGCACAACAGGCAACTGCATCGTATTGCAATTGGGCAAGACTTGTGGCTACAGGCGGTGCTCATATCAACAGGTGTTTATCAGGACCTCATGGATGCAACCAAGACAGGTGGGATCCGATGGAATGCCGACAACCCAGACTCCAAACCAGCAGGTTGTCGAGAATACAGTTTGCAGCCCAGGCATCGATTGGAGGTGGCATCGTTTGCCATTCCGAGTCTTCCAACGGATCCTTCAGAACTAGGGAACTATCTGATAGTTACTGATAGTTACTCTCTGAGGTCAAGGAGGTGAAGGATTGTGAGGGATCCCCAGCGGCAGCGGCATCCATCACATCTTTACAGCTTGAACACATGGCACGCCTGCGTCAAGTTGTCGTCAATGGAGCAGTCGCCCAATTCCTCTCTCTCCCGACGCGAGGTCAAGGTCAGCCCAGCCTGTTCCACAAGGCACAAAATGCCATGCAATGAGTATGCTAAGAACTCCGAGCTGATTTGTAAGGACTGCAGATCACCTGGTCTTTGTGCGACTGCAGGGCAAACGGAATGTAGCCTCGCCAGAGTCTGCAAGACGGGCGACGAATTGAGCGGTGCAGTGATGTGCCAAAGTCTGACCACATAGAAAGAGCCTGGGAATGAAGCGCAGCGTCGCAGGGCTGCCTTCCTGTCGAGCCACACATCTGCAGTTGGTTCGTGAAGCATCTGACTCCTACGCCGCCTCTCCGATAGGTCGTCATCGCTTGAGATCCAGATTGAGGGCAAGGGCGCAAGGCGAGGCTCCAAGAACGACATGGCTCTTTGCGGGCTTTGCGATGCAGGAAGAGTCCGGGAGATTGAACACGCCAGACGATTCGACACGCCACACTATCTCCTTCGCAGCCTCATGTATAGCTGGTTATGCAGCCGTATGTTTCAGGTGTTGATAGCGGTTTACATGCGGCATCTTGATGTGTCGAATCATCATGCGGTTCGTAGGGTACAGGTGAGAGAGAGAAAGCTGCAAAATGACCGCGGCGATGAATCAAGTCTGCACGCGAGCATCTCCAGTTTGCGCGAGCGTATGCGAAGTCGTCGCACGTCTGCATTGGTACGGCCAACATTTTCATCTTGCGCTCTGGCTCCGCAGGATTTCCTTCGGCACCACGTAAGTCTCATAGCCAGTTGGCATGTCCGAGCGACTTGAGCTCCGCTTGTCTTCGACAATGCCTGCGCACAGGGCCAAGGGCCTGCGAGCACTCAGACCCTTTACCCTTCGGAAGCCTCGAAAAGTCAAGGAGACCCTTCGGAAGCTCCCGTCTCGGATGACAACTCTGCCGTCCCGTAGAGGCACTCGTCTCCTCAGGCCAAAATCCGCGGCTGAGGCTTCCATCCTAGCGCCTCGTAGCTGCATCCAAGCGTCGACTGGCGGATTGCGTGGGTAAAATCATGACGGCTTTCCCCTTCCAGCAGGAAAAGACTTCTAGGCTCGAGGAGCACCTTGATGCAGTCCTGCGGCTGGACATCGCAGTGCCATCAGAAGAATTTTGCTAGGCTGCAGACATGCAACGTCATCTCTTGGAATGGCTCAAAGGGCGTGGAATCCGAATCCTCTTTCGAGGAGTCCTCGGGATCTCTTTTGTCGCGATGGACAGGACGACCTTCCTCTGCCCTCTGGAGAGTCAGCTGTACCTGGCTCAAGCTAATTTGCACGCTCAGAACCACCTGACAAGGTACTGCAGGAAATTTGAGCGCCGCCTACCCTGCAGTAACTTCTCAAGAAGGCTGACCGAGATGCGAGGCCCGGATCTCGCAAGAAGCAACTGCTAGGTCCATACCCACTGATGCCCGGAGCTGTCAATGCTAAACGTTGGCGCGCACTGGTCGCAGCAGGGACAGTGTCACCAATGTTTCTCCGGCAGCCGGATCCTGAAACTCTTGTCATACCAGCCTCTCTCTAAAGCTTCTGCATTTCAACCCACTGGCTCCTCAACATGGGCTCCGATGCCGCTATCCTCCAGGTACTCGTTTGCCTGCACTTGGTTGATGCCTGCCGGGAGCTATTGACAAAACCTGGTTCCTTCAAGAAGTGACCGCTGCCTCGACCAGGCTCGGAAAACAGTCCGGACGACCTCCAAACCGACACCGCGAGCAGAGCGAGTACAGGGCTGACTGGGAATTGCCACAAAAACTCCATGCCCAGAAGCCGCCCAGGCCTGAGACGTGGTATCAGCCAGCTAGGTAGCTCCTCGAAGGCTGAAACCCCCAAAATCCTTCCTTCTTGCGGCTTGGACAGGTGCCTCGAGGTCTCGACCACGTTGCTGCTTGGCAGAGCTTTGGGCTGTCGGCTGCAACTCCGGCACGGATTGGGATGTCTGGTAGTAAACCCTGAGCTTCCGGAAGACTCTTTACCATCGTCGCTCGCCCGCCCCCGTGCTCAGCTCCACACAGTCCAAAGAATTGCTGCGCTCGGCGGATCTTCCGCAACCAGGCCGCTCCTAGCAGACAGCTTGAAGATGCCTAAACACGGAGCACGAATCACACTCACCACAACGTTCAAAGCACGCGCACAGAATCCCCCACAAAACGAGCCAAGCAAGGCATTTGAGAGCAAAGCAGTCTGGGATCTCTATCGGGAATCTATCTTGGGGAACGTTTCTTGACAAGTTCTTTGGCTCCCAATACATGTCTGTCCCAAAGACGTGACAATTACAAATCTCGGGCCGCGAGCCTGGACCATCCACAGCCTGGATCAATTCCGCCTCCTCTGCCTCCGTGATGAAGTTGGGCCAGTAGCGCAAGCCGACGGGGAGCTGGCAGCTGGGAGGATAGATGAGTCTCCGACTTGCGGTGAGTCCTCCCCCTAGAAGAGCAAATTGCCACCTTGTCCGCTTCCACACACTGGGCCCAAAAAACCCCGACCTGCTTTGGTCCCCGAAGCCGCGACCCAAAGACGGTGTGAGGGGCTGCCCAAGTCGAGACCTGTCTTGTGAAAAGCAGTTTTTGCTAGACTGACCTACCTGCGTCAATTATTTCGTCAGCTGTCTTCTCTTGCCTCCTTGTGCTTTCTTTCATCGTGTCAAAGAGGCACGCCCCTCTACAAGCTCTTCTTCAGCAAAGACAAGAAGGGCGGGTCGCTCCACCCTTCCGTGTACGAACGCACACTGGTGGGTTCGATCTAGCATCTACAGGCTCGTCGTCTTCTGACTGGCATTGGAGGCCCCCTGAGGTGGGAACTCCTGCATGCATCTGCGCAACCGCAGGTCCGGTCATAAGAGCCCCCAGTCGGCATGAAACCAGTTCACGCAACAGAGGTCGGTGGAGGACCACCTTGAAACCCTGCCTTCGCGGAACGACCCCCCCAAGCCTCCTAATGCGCACTCTTTGCCTCGCGCAGCTTGCCTAACCTGCCCCCACTGCTGCCGACAACATATTTAAGCTTTCTTTCTTTCTGCAGGCCTGAGTCCCTCCCCCTCTGCGCTGTCACGCACCCCTTTCAGTGCGGAGTGCTTAGGCTAACTGCCCCGGCTACGGAGGAAAAAGCGTCACAACAAATGCATGGGGAAAGTGGGTCCCTTTCGCCTTCTCCTCCCCCTGCTCACGTCCGAACTACAGTGTTGGCTTTCTGTCTTTCAAAACCGCCGTAGCCAATAGGTTTGGCACGGACTCTGGTGTGTGGCTCCTCTGGTACACTTCTATTAAGGCGTTTGTAGTAAAGCGCAGCAGGAAGCCTCCCAGACGGTCGGCCAGTGTCGCCACACTTTTCTTCCGTTCTATTTGAAAGCTCTGTCTCTCTCTCACTTTTCAGGGCGTGAAGACGGCGGCGGTCCAGCCACCATCTCCGTGCGCGCACTTTGCTTTGCTTTGCTAGGGGTAAGAGGCGTTAGCAGGCCTAACGCCCCGCCTTCCAGGCGCACCCCCATCCATCATGTTGGCAGAGCGCGCACTCCGTCCGTCTGTTTCTCTCTCTCTCTCTCTCTCCTTCTGTCGCCAGGGCTGGAGACAAGGGGGCAAACCCCTTGCCCGCGCGCGTTTGCGCCCCCGACTGTTGCGGAGCGACATATTTCATCGGCAAACTCCAATAAGGGTACGATCACTGCCTTTCGAATCACAAACCAGAAGGAAACAGCGAGCCAACTTAGGTACACCATATAAGATAGAGATAACCAAGGCAGACACCTGCGCATCGTAGAAGTCTGAGGCACCGACCATGGAATTAATATGGCACAGTATGAAAGGACATGTACATGTGCATAGCCCCAGAGAGGGGGCGAGGTTTCCAGGAATATGGAGGCTCCAGCGGCTCGTCATTGAAAAACGGAGGAAAAAAAAGATGGAATGGGGTTGCCCCCGAAGGAAGCGGCGGGTCGACTTGAGCCAAAATGGCTTCTTCTTTCTCTTTTCTTTCGCCAGGGCTAGGGGTAAGGGAGAACAAGACCCCCTCACCCGCGCGCGTTAGCGCCCCCGACATGTGGGGAGCGAAAGGTGAAATCCTCATGCACCAGAAATGCAAAGGTGGCCCGCGAAAGAAAGTTGCGAACAGCAGTGGTATAGAGAGTAGTAGAGCACATAGGGTTTAGGGTTTAGGGTTTAGGGTCTCTCTCTCTCTACCTACCGGGACAGGAGAGGGCGGCGGTCCAGCGGCCCTTCTCCGCACGCGCACGTGCCCCCCGCGGTTCACGGGCGTCTTGGTCTTCCAAGGGGGCTGTGCCCTGTGAAAGCTCGGCTATACACGGATAAAATGCCAGCAGGGTCTCACAGAAAGAGTAAGCAATCCCCCACATCAAAACGGCTCTTTTCTTTCTTTCGCCAGGGCTAGGCTCTCTCTCTCTCTCTCTCTCTTATCTGGCATACGAGGCGTCTGAAACCCCCGTGACGAAAGGCGCACCCCTGTTTAGAGCCTTTGTATGAGGGAGTGAGCAGACTAAAAAGATATGGTTCCCCGGTGAGAGGGCCAGAGCAGAGAACGTCGTAAAAAGATATGGATCTGTCTTCTTCCACAGTCAAAGGAAGGGCACAGCACCCCCCCTCGCGCGCGGGCGCGCCCCGGTATGGATCTCTCTCTCTTTCTTTCTTTCTGCGGGGCGTAGGGGTCGATCACTCGACCCTCAGGCCTTTGGCCCGCCCACCCACCCGCTGTGTTAGTGAGTGGATGGCATTGGGGTCCCAATGACTGATGCACTGGAAAACTCAGTATGCCCCCCGTCTCTAGCGATAAGCCCCCGACCCTGTACGCTAACACCCCTAGCCCGAGAGATCTCTCTCTCTCTCTCTCTCTCTACGGGGCGTGACGGAGCAGCAGCGTCCAGGCTGCCCCGCCGTGCGCGCTCTCTCTCTCTCTCTCTCTCTTTCTTTCCCCAGGGCTGTGGTGGGGAGTTGCCTCCCCACCGCGCGCATCATGCGCGCCCGCCTGTTGCGGGTGGCAATGGTGGAAACTCGCATGCCCGAAAGATGGAATGCTCGCCAAAAAAGGACCAGTCGCAACCCTAAGGAACACAACCCGAACATGAAGTATGGACCCTCGTCGGCTCTCTGTCTCTCTCTCTCTCTTCTTTCCCTGGGCCTGAAGGTCCGGCCAAGAATCTCTCCATGTCTCTCTGCTGGGGATGCCCTCACATGTCGCGCTCCAAGAAGAGCTCTAGCTGAGGATGTTGCACATCGGCTGGAAGAGCTTGTCCTTGGAAGCCCGGGGAAGCCAACGACCGACAGACTTGGATAGACAACATGAGCGACATAAGTCTGCACCAACCGACCAGACGGCGGCCAGCGCAGCCAGCACTGGCGCGCGGGCACGTAACATGGCAATGCTTTGCTGCAAAAACGAAGCAGGTTTGTGTGGTGTCGGTAGTTTGGCGAAATTTACCTAGAATTTCGAGAGTCTGTGTTGGAGTTTTCAGAGCTGTCGAGGCCCTCGGTATCGTCTTGAGCCGGTGAGAAGCTGGGCTCCCACTCGCACGTTGCGAGGGCTTCGTCGCACACTTTTCATAGTCCCAGCTTTCAGAATAAGTCCGGATAGTTGCCTAATCAACCTGTACGTCCTTCCTGAATTTGAGCAAAATCTGAGGTCCATGCCTAAGTTCTGGCTGCATGCCACCGTAGGTGGATGCCACCAGCTGACGAACACGGAATTTGAACCGTCCAAGCTTGATGACCTCAGGCATCTGAGCATCTGAATTGATCTGCCTGGATGCTGTCTGGCAGCCACCAAGCCGGAATGAAAAAGCGGTTGCCAAATATTGCAAGGTGCATAAAAAAATGGCTGCGCAACTAGTCTAATTGGGAACGCCTAAGTAGGACTGGTCGTCATGTCTGAGGAACTCAAAGGTCCTGGCATCACCCTCCTGCAGCCGATGGCTGCTGGATACCAGATCTCTCCTCGGAAACGGATAGCAGAGCAACATGGAAGCCGGCCGCTATGAAAGTCACAACCCTTCACTTCCAATGCAACTTGGTAGCACTACAAGCCACAGCTTCTTGGAGTTGCTGGACCTTAGCATCAGGAGAATATCACGCGTGAAGACGTCATTTGGAGTTGGCGTGCATGACAACAGCATCTGAGTTGCTTGTGACATCTTGGTTTCCACAGGATGTGAGTCTTATGCAGTCTTGTTTACTAGTTACGAAGATGTCAAGGAAGCGGGAAGCAGGCCGATATTGACGAAGGGACACAGGTAGGGCGGCTACGAGGCACCTTAGAGCCCTTGCAGCCTTCCCCTCCTCCGAGGCACTTGCTGCTATAACAACTTCTGAAGCCGGAGCTATCCTCCTATTTGATCGCACATGCCTGATGGACAGTGCTGGACCAATTCTAGGCACCGAAGAGGAGCTCCCTCCCATCATCACAAATCGAGCCCATCCATCCCAAACCAACAGGAGCTTGGCAGGAGCAATGCTGGATGGATTTGCAGCCACCTGTGTTGTCCCGAACTCGTACCTCTGCTGGGGCACCCTGCGGCTGGACCTTGTCAACCTCAGGTCAGTATTGCAATGAGACAACGACCACTGCAGCGCCTTCACATGATCTGCGAAGCTAGCAACATGAATCTGCAGACCTTTTCATCCACGAGGCAGGCATGGGACACGTTGGCCAATGTTGCTCGAAGCCCAAGACTATACAACACGAGTGGGCACTGACACTGCGCTAGCTAGCGCATCATGCCCTTGTGGGTGAAATAACCAACCTGGAAGGCCAGCGCACTAGAGTCCTGGAATCACTAGACACTAGAACCAGGAGGATTGGCCTGGCTCTTCTCCCTCCTCCTTTTCGCACGTTGCTTCATCTTCTCCCTCAGCGCCGCCCGACTGGCACCCAAGCAGCGTGGTTCCCTGCCCCATGGATTCCAGGCATCGGCCAAAGGATTTCAACACACGGACAGCATCCACCTTGTTCAAGGACTTATTTTCCTTGCGCGACAGCCGATGAAGAAGAAGGGACGCGAAGTCGTGACATGTGTCCTGGATGGCTTCCACGTCTTCTCGCACCTGCCCTCCCAACTCCACGGGCAATTCGCCTTTAAATTTCGTGCCGGAGCTCTCTCCGAGGGAGCCCGTGAAAAGGTTGCTACCAATCTTCTCGGCACACTGGGCTCCCGTCTCCAAATTGTCTCGAAAGATCTTGGCCGGACCCACGGGATCCAGCGGATCGGCCACATTCAACTTGCAGGCTTTTCGAATGTCCAGCATCTTCTCTGAGGGAAGCACGGCTGCATCGATCGTCAGCGCATCGAAGCTCGTCTCGGAACGTCCCAGAAATGAGGAGAATCGAGGGCCGCGTGGCCTCCGTGCCAGGATGTCCTCATGCCAAGCTTGGCAAAAGTCTCTTGTGCGCACGGATGCCCATGGCGTTGACGGAACACTAAGAGTCACCTGGTCCACATGGCTCAACACGCCATTTGGCATGCGACTGGACGCAGGCTCGCGGAGCACAAACTGGAACTTTGAGTATATGTCCTAGGGCCTTCGACAAAGAAAGGGCAGCGGCAACAATCCGATGAAGCCCAGACTCTTGCACGGTTTAGGTTGGGGATATGCCATCGGACATGCGGAATGACACGGCCCGATCAAAGGCGGGAGCCCAGAAGGTCCCATCCCGCTGCACGAGGCGCAGGAGAGGATCTCCTCCTGCCGGCGGCGCATCCCGCTCCCCGACCATCTGCACCTGCACGATTCCATCTTCGGCCCTCGTTACGTACTCTTTGTGTTCGGGTGGTCTGTGCCGTGCCTCTGTGCCATTGCGCATGCAGACCGTGGACTTCGGCACCGAAAACGTCTGCGTATGCCTGGGATGTCCCGCCAGTGCCGCAAATCAAACTCTCCACCTGCAACCCTTGCAATGCCGACAGTCTAAGGCATGCACAGCTGATGTGCCTCAAAGTCGAAGAGGTCATGAGAGTCTCTGGCCCATGTCTTTGATATCACCTTATTGGCAATAGGTCGCAGTTTCAAGGTGAATTCGCCGAGTGTAAATCGGACCACCTTGACTGCGCTGGTCGCCGACGTGCTAGGCGCCGACGCCTGCTGTGCGCAACAGGTTCGGCAGTTCAGCATGCGGGTGGAGTTCGGGGCTTCCACATGAGAGACCTGAGCACGAGGTTATGTCAGCACAAACACACCTGTAGTTCTGTCTTCTGCGACTGTTGTACACTGATACACCTTTACACACAGGATTGCGCAACCCCAAAAAGCAGATCACCCGGATGAGCCTGCGCTGCCATCGAGTATGGCCAGGCGGAAGACGACCAAGGGTGCCAGTGTCTTGAATTCCGGGTGTGTACCTGAGGTATCAAACTGGAGTCGCGATCAAGGCTCCGCTTGTGAGTGAGTGATGCTACTAGTATCACCATCTGCATCACTTCTGGAGTCAGTTGCTGCCGTGAGGTCCGCACCTCCAAGAGTTCTGCAGCGGCGGCCTACACTCCTTCCAGATCCTATCCAGCCCTGCACAACATCTTTGAGCCGGAAACATGCCCACGACTGGTCACAGCAACCCCGGAATGATTCTGCAGGGAGATGTCAGATGCGGCGTCCCTTGCCATGCTGGCTCTCGACATTTTAAATTCCAAGCTCGCTCTGGAGTTCAACGCGATTCCTGCAGTCCTAAAGCCTCTGACTGCGGGAAAGTGCTGCCTTTTCAAAAGGTTCACGTATCCGCGGTGGCTTGTTGCTTGCAGTCAGCTTGCCGCTGTTGGTTCTTCACTCCACGCAACATGGAGTACCCTTGCAAGCTTGAGGAAGCTGGAGCACTGGAGGCCCGTTTCGGCCAAGCTCCAGCAGTTCATTGTGCCTCCTGTGTCGACCAACTCTCACCCAGGCAGACATGACTCAGAAGAGCACCGAAGGCGCAAACAAATGCCTTCAGAGGGAAGTTCTGCAGAAGATTCCACGTGTGATCGCACGGCATGCTGGCCCCCCCCTACTGGAATGCTGCAAGCTGATGCAAGATGCCTGCGCCAGCATCACTGCGGGCACCTGAGAGTCGAGCTTTCTTACGGAAGCTGCAAGCTTTTTCCGTCAGGCCAAGACCCCGTAGGTCTCGTCCAGCAGCGGGAAAAGCAGAGCTCCGACCTCCAGGCAACATGGCTGCCGCCGGCTGCCTCTGTCGCATTGCGGGGCGCCGGGGTGCGGGCGAGTGCTCCGCTCTTCCCAGCAGCGGCCGAGAGGCCGTGGAAGGTGCTGCGCAACCTCAGATGCCCCGGCCGCCGCAGACGAAGCTCCCTGGCCACGCATGACGTGCGAACTGTGCGAAGCTTCGAAGAGCCCTAAACTCCTAGCACGCAGGCACGGACTTCGCTTCGAACGCCAGGCCAGGAGGCTCCGGAGGCGCTAGCTCCACCGGAAGCACGAAGGTGGCGACGCTGGGCCCAAAATTCAGGCCTAGCCGCCGCTGCTTTCTGCTTTGAAGCTTCGATGAAGAACGTGTACCACATGTAATTGCGCCGAGCAGAAGCTGGGCCACAGGCCAAAGTACAGAGCACAAAGAACAGCGAAAAGGACCTGGCACCGACACCTATCGTGCTACAAGTACGTTAAAGGCAGGGAAAGGCTTGGGAGGAGCCTTGTGCGCATCTGGAAACACGGCCGACACGGCCGCAAAAACCGCAAAGCAAACGGAGATCATGGCCTCAGGACCCAGCAAGACTTCCGCACACGCTAGCTTTGAAAGCTCTCCTCTCCACACTTGGCCAAGTGTCCTGTCCCCTCGGTTCGCTTCTGTTTCGCTCCAGGTCACGAGCTTCTGATATTCGATTATCTATGGGTCATTGAGATCTTGCATCGCGGATCATCGCAGAGTGCGGTTGGTGGGGTTGGTGCTCAGCCCATTCGGCTAGGCCACGGGCCAAGCGCAAAGGGCGGAAACAAGTCGAGCCTACGGTTGGCCACCCTTCGTTAAAGGCTGCTTTGAAGCTCCAATGAACCAAGTGGAGCCAAGCAAGTGTGGCATTGAGATCTTGAGGGTTCGTGGCGAGCCAGAAAAACATGCCTTGAGTGATGAGAAGATATGTGACCACCATCTCACGGGCGTGTCCCACTTCATTTTTGGCGGTACTGACACCCGCTCACTCCCTTCTCCTCCCTGGCTTCTAGGCTCCGAAACGGGCCATGAAGCGAGTGCTTTGTGGGACAGACAATGGCAAAATGCAAGGGCTAAGCGCTCATGGCCCCCAACCACTACTTGCAAGCGGCAACTGCACAAAGCACCAGGAAGGAACTGTCACAAGGCGAAAGAGCAGCGAGACTTCCGAGACGAGGTCAGTTGAGGACGGTGTAAATGAGGCAATCATTTGTTGCCTTGCATGGATAAGGCTTCTAGCCGATGTGTGGAGGCTTGGACGGGATGCCAGACATGCAGCTGCTGCCGTGGACTCAACTCACTTTTCTGGTCTGCCCTCTCTTTTCTGCATTTGCTGTTCTTCTCTCTCCTTCTTGCAGCTTGGCAGGCCAGCCCCACTGCATTCAGCGTCCGTGCCTCAGCAAAGAGTCTGTCGAAGGGGGAGGGAGGGAAAGCAAGCGCTAGAAATTTGGCCAAGGAGCGCCCACGCGAGGCAGCACTGCAACCGCAAGGAAAGTGGCCGGGATGGCAAAAGAAAGCCTCAGTAAGTTCATCTGCAGTGATCGGGACCATTACATGGAGTCAAGGCACCAAAAACTGCTAGAAATGACCCTCATTTTCAAGTGCAAGCACGAGGCATCATGACAGAATGGAGAGCCATCTGCGTGAGCGACTGGCTTTCACCGAAGACATGATTGAGGATGCGAGGGGTAAAGATGACGGTGCCTGGGTCAGAGTGTTTGGCGGCTATAAATACATCATATTGACTACGAATTGAGGGCATCGTCATGCAGAAGCTGCCACACACGCACGGAACAAAAGCTGGAGTACGTGACGTGTGTCAACGAAGCTTTGCTGAAGGCGGCTTTGTGTTCAGGTGAAACGGAGTCTCTGAAACGTAAGATGACGTTGGCACAATCACTTTTGTCGCCCAGCGGCCGTAAGCAGCGACATCAAATAGGAACCAGGTTCCGGCAGTACCGACAAGTGTTCGCTGGTGGCTTTGCAGCGCCTGTCGTTGCGATGTAACCCTATGCAGCCAATGCAGGAGCTTCAAAGGCTTGCAAAAGCTTATGGTTGCACCTGGCGCAGGTCGCCTCCTGCATGCACTGGAGGTGCTGACTCCTGACAGGCTGACGAGATCTCGAGCGGGCAAGGCGACCCCGAAAGCCCTTCAGCTACCTCCCGCCAGGAGGCAGCAAGTGCCAGGAAGGCCGGCAGAGCCCCCAAACCGAGCACCAGCCGAAACCTCAGCACGTTCCTTCCTTCACCCATGAGCACCTACACGCATTTAAGCGGTCGGAGCCGAGACACTGCCAGGAGGTGTCTCCAGGCAGGACGTGCAGCAGGAGGAGCGTCACAAGGTATGGGGCTACGCCACCGGGCGTCTGCCAGAAGAACGCCTCTCGGTCCCGGCCAAGCAACGGCCTTCACCGTGCCTAGTGACCCTAGTGAAGAGCGTCACAGTGCCCACCTGACCCACCTCCGACGAAGTACCAGAGGCACCCGCACAAGCCGCGCTCAGGGGGTAGGCTCCCCCAAGGCCTTGGTGGTCAGTTCTACCCCCTTGTGATCCAGAGTTTGCTTCTTCAGTCAATCCAGGCCAGAGACCACTAGGCCCCGCAACTCTTCAAGGCCCAGGGCCCAGACCCACTCCCACGAGGAATCGAGCAATGGCCAGTCTATGCCAGAACTCATCTCCAGCATCTTCCGGCAGCATGGAACACCTAGGGATCAGATCCAGGCTCAGCAGGCAATTGCTGTCTGGAGCCTAGCTGCTAGCTTGTGACTGCACTCCAAGGTACAGCAAGGCACCCAGCACGACAAGGCCCTCCCAAGTCACTCGTGCCATGCCCATGGGTGCTTCAGCGACATGGACCGTGTAAGAACAGACGCCTTCGTCCCCTGGAGAGCTCGCCGGTGACCAAGGAGATCTCCCAGGTATCCGAAGCACATCATACCTCGCGGCCAGAAGCAGCCACGGCAGCAGAGGCGCATCTGGAGGCCACCTCGCCACGACTCGCCCTTTCGCCCAGCCTACCATCGAGCCCACGAAGACCAAGGCCAGGAGAGAGCGAGAGACCCAGGGAGGCCGCGGATAGTCCGCCTCATGCACTGGTTTTTCATTCGCCACGCCTGTGCTTCTCCCATGCCGAGCTGCTGCCAGTGGATCTTGCACATAGAGGTCATTGTGGGTAGACATCACCGCCAGGGCAATGCTTGCACCTCTCACCAACAGCGAAAACCCGCACCACAACTAACATCATAGCTGAGGCTGTCACATTGGTAATTGTACCTCAGCTGAGCTCACACCAGAGTTCAAACTGTTGTGTGTGCAATGTCGACCCGACCCTCAAGCGCATGACCTCCTGCTGGAGCTGCCCGCTGGCTGCGCAGTGCAAGTATGGCATCAGGTCGCACCACATGAGCCAAGCCGCTGGATGGAAAAGTTGCTGCACCCGGATGCAAAGGCACGCCACCATCCTTTCAGCCGACACCACTCCATTCATTTCAGGTGAGCACTTCCAGACAAAAACCGAAGCAGGGCCTGACTGCTCCGCTTTACCCACAGGCTCTGTGCTGCCGTACCTCGCAGACACTTCCACAAGCAAATGAACTCGCCAGATCGGTGTCGCAGGCAACATGGATTCAAAGCGACATGCATCCAAGACACCAGTTTGCCATCTGCCTGCAGAGCTGAAAACCGACGCTCACACAAAACAAGGCCGGAGCGAAAGCGAGCCCACCCCCCACCCCCCACACACCCCCCCGAGCTCTGCGGTCCGCCTCAGAGGTCGCCGTGCAAGCCGACACTTACAGCATGGCCCGATCGCGGTTCAGTTCGGGCGTCGGGGGACAAAGAGACCTGACTTGCTGTGATGCCAAGGCTCAAGCTTGAGCCGGAAGGGCACAGCATGCAGCATCAACGGCCCATCTCAACTGGAGTTGAAGAAAGCAACCGCAGGAAATGAGTTTGCTGTCCTGCAGATCGCTTAGAAGCACGTACGGTGTGAATGCATGGCTCCGGGGCCTCAAAAAGAGTGCTCAGCTACGGGCAGTGTCCGCAAGCTCTCACCTTCGGTGAGGCATCGACTGGAGACCTGGAGCCATCCAGCACTAAGCATCAGCCCTGCGCTTTGCAGATGTGACGAGTGGGCACCGCCACTGTTCAAACTCTATTTCAATTCAGATATCACCAGGACCGTGAAGATCGGAGGCACGATCGTCTTATAAATACAAATCTTCCCAGTTGGCACAGCGACCGCAGCACCAGGACTCTTCGTCAAATAGTCGTCGGTCGCTTTCTGTGCCCTTCAGCTTGCCTCGGACCAGAAAGCTCACAAAGAGAGCTTGTGCCGTCAGGCAGCATCTGTAAGGTGGGCAGAGTGGAAGGCTGAAGGCACACGGATCCCACAATGAAATCGGAACTGCTCTTTATTGCTGTTAACTGCTTGGAATTTTGGAGCCGAGGTATTTGCACGAGCCGATGGTGTGTTGTTGCAGCTCGATCGATGGCTTGCTCTTCCCGTGCCGCGCAACAGCACAGCCCCTGGGCACGTCGGTCCTTATTGAGTGAGAGCCTGTGCCCTCACAAAGGGAAAGAAGACACCCGGGCGGGGCCTCTGAAAAAAATGGCCCTGGTCTTGAGATGGACTCGACTCAAAACAAAAACACAGAGAATTCACTCGGCCTTCATTCCCAAATAGCCAAAACGCCGGAAATCGGCAAGCTCGATGTGAGTTCTACAGTAGTTTGCTGCCAAACAGCGCCGTTGAAAGCAGAATGCGGCGATAGCTGCAACAACATACCCTGCAAATTCGAGTCACTATGGCTTGCCGAAAAACACTGGCTTGAAGAGCCTCGCAAGTTCGAGCGCTGCACAACACCACAGGAAGCCTCGCAAAAAAGTAATTCACAAAAAAATTGTGCTGCACGAGTGGCTTTGCGCCCCTCAATCGCCGAAGTGGTAGCGTTTTGCATCTGTTTTACGCGAACCCCGAAATGTTTTTGTTTGCCCCGCGATCGCCGACATGATGTTTGTTCTGGCTGAGCGAACCCCGCGGTCGGACAACAGAAAAGCTGTGCAGCGGGCTTCTAGCCAGCAGTGTGCAATCTTGTCCAGTTGCAGCAGACGCGCAGCGAAAAGGGATCGGGACAAAAAACAGCTCTGGCCGGTGGCACTCGAAGTCGCGAAAATGCACTGGTTGTGGATCATGTATTGCAGATACTCGAGGATTACAGGGGAAAGGCTTCTTGCGTCCAGGACGCAGGCAGGGCACTGCCAGCCAAGGCAGGCTGGCACGTCCTGGCAGTCCAGCTTCTGCAAGTATCGCAAAGCGTCCCGAGCGCGATCCAGGGTTTGGTGCGTCTGGCAACAATGAGACCGTGATAGTCCTTTGCCACTTTCTGGCAAAGGCCACTGCCACAGGAACGACATCAGAGCTCGGAGTTCCTCCTCTGGCTCGAATTGACGAAACTCTGCTGGCGGCTCTGGTCTCAGGGGGTAATCTGAGGCCCTCGGACTCTTCTGGCTGCCGCTGTGACAGCTGTGAGCGCTTTGTGAGGGGCTTTGCATTCCTGCCTCCTCCGAGTCGTCGCAGCTCACGTCGTCTGCCACTGGTCCAAGGCCACTGAGAATAGTATCGGCATGCGGACGCGCATTTGCCGGCTGGGCTTCCTGTATTTCATTGACCCCCAGCAGATGCGTCACGCGTGACCCACTCGCTCCGCTCGCTCCGCGAGTCGGGCTCAACGTGGCGAAGTAGATCGAGACGGAGATCGGCATGTTGTAAGCGCCGGTCAACGTGGTTTGGAGTGGATAAAGCCGGAGCTGCTCGTCCCGGCAGAAGCTTTGGAAGCGATCCTTGGCCCGCGTTGTCCGCTGTGTCAGCGACTATGTACGACTACCATAATCCCGGCAAGTATTCCCAACAGCAGAACGCACATTTGTAATTAGGGTACAGATTAGGGTCATACACAAACGGTCCAACCCCTGCAACCATCTATGGGACTGCGGGGTAAAGCGGAGAAGCTTCCCCTCCCAGTTTGGGCCGCGGTGCAGGCGTTGGATCGTTCGTGCTTTGGGTTCGTGCTTTTTCCCCTCCCCGTGAAATCTGTCAAGTCTATATACAAACAAGAGGAGATGGGGGAGGGGAGGAGGGGAGGAGGGGCGGGGTTTTCGGCAGCGTGACCTTTTACAGAACCCCTTCTCCAGAACCCCCGTCCATACCCAAACCCGCTCCCGGAACCTCCCGGAACCCGTCCCAGAACCTGCTCCCTGCTCCCGGAACCCGCCACTCCGGAACCCGCTCCAGAACCCGCTCGAACCCGGAACGCGCTGCGGAACCCGCTGCGGAACCCGCTCCGGAACCGGCTCGGAACCCTTCACTGGAGTAAGTTTTTTGCTACAGGGTGCTATTAGCCGTTAGAGGGACGTATAGACAGAGAAAAATTTAATAGAAATTAACTTGAGATAGTTATTAAAGACGTATAAGCAGTTAGTAACTCGTAATAGCTGTTAACTTAAGTTCCCATAAGTACCAATAACTTCCAATATCTTTTTTGGGTAATTTTAGCACAACATCTTGTTGCTGTCGGTTGCCGTTTTACCTTCTGTTTGTTCCATTCTTGTTGCTGGCATGTACGCTTCTTGCCGCCGCGGAGGGTCTGCTATTCCACGGCAGCGGGGTTGGGAGGGGGGTGGGTGGGGGGGGGGTGGTAATTGCGTGCGGAAGTGCTGAATCCTATGGTATTTATAGTGTTTTCTGCACCTGCGGACTGTTCATGTGTGTTAGCCTTCTGTGCTTGCCCTTGCTGGAATGTGTCAATTTACGTGGGTTTTTTCGCGTCAAGAAGCGAAACGCACGGTACTTGTGGTGTTTTCGCATGTTTTCT